GGCATAAAGTGCTAATTTATCCAGTCGGGTGACGGTCAGGCTGGTCCCCCTGCAATGTTCTTGCAGCAACCAAAAGCAATCAGCCCCTCCAAATCAGCAAAATGGCAGGGAGCGCAGAGCCACCGCTGCCCTCCCACATCCCTGGTACAGCAAATTTCCTCTACCTGCCTGATCCTGCCACACAGGAAGGCATTTGCTCGACTCAGCAGGCATTTTCCCAGCACAGTTAGCTCTGAGCAGGGGATAGCTGAGTCCCAGTACATCAGTCACTTTAATTGCTGCAGTCTCAGGAGTAGACTTTCAGTGGGTTTTGAGGAGCCCAGCGTGCCGTGGCATCTCCCTTCCAGCAGTGACAGGATACATCACAAAGCTTTTTGATACTGCCCTGAAAACCTGCCTTCCTAAACGGTCATTGCAAGGTTTTTTGACAGCTTCCTAGCTCATTTATTTGGCATTTGATCACAGGTTTAGAGAAATTATAGAAGTCCTCTGAAAGCTATGATCCCCCGAGTGGCTAAAGGAGATTCACAGGCTTTAATCTCCCAATGTGTCCTGTTAAAAAAAAGAAACAATAATAAAATCCTATATACCCTATATACTATGTGCATTGACACTGTGTGTACATCTGTCACAATGCAACCGGACCACGTGCTGAGCCCTTGGACAAGGCCACCCCATGCTGCTTTCCATGCCTCCAGCTCTGCTCCAAATCCCTCGCTCTGGCTGCTTTCTGCAGCACTCCTCACTCAGCTTTGGATAACCTGTACTGACGAACAGCTGAGAAGTTTTCTGTTTACTAATGTATATAAAACTGAATGCCAACAAATGAGGGGCCTGAGGACCTAGTATCTGGCAGGTTGAAAGTGGAACTTGGAAAAAAAAAAATCAGAGCTATTCCCCGTTCCATCACTTTCAATGCAAAATGTGTCTTCAAACCCTTTCAAAGTTGTTCAGCCTCTCTATCTGCCGTTGTTTTCATTTCTGAAATGGAGATATTTGATCTTTTTTAGCCTGATGACATTTCACCAACATAGGATGGCTTTAATACTTCCAGTCAATCATGAGGAATTTACATCAGCCACTGTGATACCATTTGTGAAAGAATGCATTGATTTCAGTAGGGAATACTTTTACAAATTCTTAATATAAATGACATTTTCTGTTTTCTCTCTGAAAAAAAATGTGAAAGTCTACACACCACTACTTGAAACCAGAGATTGAGCTCTTGTTTGCATCAGTCTTTCCTTGGCATTCCTGAAATAATTAAAGTCCATTTATTCCCTTCTTGTATTCCTCTGTCCACCACCAAGACGTCAGAAGAATGCTGAGGACACCAGAGCACACAGCAAGCCTGGCAACTGAGATGAATTAGCGCCTGTAGACTGTAGGAGGAGGTAAGGAAAACAACCACATTTCCAAAGCCAGGAATCATCATTGCTTGTTGCAGAACAGTCACTAATACACAGCTGAAATGAAGCTGGAGACCTTTTGAGTCATGTGCTTCACAAGCTTCTGAGACAAAAGGGAAGAGTGGCCAACAACTGCAATTTGTGTGTTTACTGATGACTTGCAGATTTAATAAAATAGAGAGAAATAAATTTGTGATATATCCCAAGGTATACAGCAACTCCAGATTGTCCTGTCCCCAGGGCAGCTATAGCCAAGCTGAATACTTCCATGTGCAGTTTTTTAACTGTACAACTTCCTAACAGTCACCATTAAATTTGTGAATGGGAATAACAATTAGCTACAACTTTATACACACCAAAATCCCAGTATTTATGATATTTTGTATCTAGAGAGGTTGAAAAACAGCATTTAACAGCATTTTCATATACTTAACAAGCAATGAGGGAACTTTATATCACTCAAAGTAGCAACTTCCATTAGAGCAATCTTCAGCTGCTGAATGAGAAGTGTATTGGCAAGGCTTGTCTAATATATTCAAAGTGATCTGCAGAAGATCCCAGTATCACTAGAGATGATGCATGAATAACAGTGGAAAATATGATGTAATTACAGGGATTATCCCACCCCTGGGACAAAAAAAAAGTGAAATTCAAGCACTCTTTAATCTCACTGGGACAAAATGAACTCGATGATAACCATATTTTGTTCAAAAGAATTACTTGTACTAATTAAGAGATGAAGGTGGCAGTTCAGAATCTATTCCTGACTGTCATTTCAGATGTCACATCAATCTATTCCACTGAGAAAATAACAATCAAAATACTCCCTCAGTCCCAGCAAGCCAATTTGTACTATAAAATCACTTTTACACAGCTGATTATTATGGCTTTCTTTTAGGTACTCTGGTGAACCAAGATTGTCAACTGTACTGAATAAGGGCAAATGTATTAAAAAAAATATATTTACATGAATTCTTTATAACTAGTTAAAGTCAGACCACATATTTTAAATTGCAATACAATGTTCAAGAGCCAGATTGTGAAATAGCAGTGTGGATTTCAAAGCATGCAAAGTACAAATACAGGGCTGCATACCTAAATCCCAAGACATTCATTGGTACTCCTGGGCACCTGAATGTCTTTGCGTATCCCTGAGATATTCAAAGTAAGAAATACATAAAATTGCATGAAAGGGTAATACTTCTTCCCCTGACCCTTGGCTGCACTGTTTCCCATAGTCAGAAATAAAGCTACAATCTGAAAACAGCCTGTGGAAACAGCCTGTCACGTCACTGTGTTGTGTGTGTCCCCGTAATCTGGACAGCAGGGCCGACACGCCGTGTACTCACGCTTAGCTGGGAATGTGCTGCCACAGCACAGCACTGAGATGGTTTGTCTGAGTGTGATTCAACATTTGGCAGCTGTTTTCATCTTGAATCATGCATGCAATGACCATTAACAATAATGATATTGATCCTTCAAGTGCTATGAGCAGGGAATTACAATGAGTTCCTGGATCAGCCCAGAGAGCTGCTGCAGTCTCCTGGTGACAGCCCTTCTGAAGGCGACATATGCAGAGGTGCTTATTCAGTCATAACAATTCCTAGAATGAAACTGAAAATGAGAACTGTTCATAAATATTTATCCACGTATATATAGCATACAAATAATGGAGCAGTAACAATATGTTGATATAATAAGTGCACTGCAATTCGGTGAGAGTTTATGGCCAGCGGTGTTTACGTTGCTTCTCCAGTCCTTCCATTAACCTTCTTTGCATCTCGTCTTAAATTCTCATGTAAGCCAATCTGGACTGTATGTACATAGTCCTCAGTGCAAGAGAACTCACACATCCTTTCCTGGCCTTTTGGCATTCCTGTAGAATAAGAATTTATACCAATTTAGGGAGGTGTGACATGCATTTTGCATGGCTGATGTCCCTGTGTAGTTTAACTAGGGGACTGCATGAGAGAAATAGAATAAAATCCTATTACCAGGTAAAGCATCCTGGGGGAAGGCAGTGGTAGCAAGCCTAAGAAACAGATGTCTTTAAGCTCCTGGCACTCCTACAAAGCCAGGCACATATAATTGAATGAATAGCTCTGAATTACAAATAGAGATCATAAATTCTGCAAAAGGTTGTCTTTCAAACTCATAGTGCCTGGAGGAAATGGGAAGACTGAAAATGCGTGCTTTTTAATTGCATTCGTGAGGTTCAAAGCATGGGTGTCAGGAGCTGCCACCCCTGCCTCAGTGCTGAGCAGAAAGCCAGGATGTTCTGTGAGGGGCGTTTGACACCTGGCAAGATTTTACAGTGGAGAAAACCAAGCACAAGAAGGCTGCCCACAGAGGCTATGGGGGCCTGGAGATGTTCCAAACCTGAACGGTCGGTGGGGCCCTGAGAAACATGGCCCGAGCTCACCCAGCACCAAGGCTGGCCCTGCTCTGGGCCAGGGTCAGGTCTGACCCTGAGTCCCCCACAGCTCCCTTCCTAACCAGTTCTCTGTTCTGTGGCTCAAAATAAAGAAATCCCTTAAAATTAGGTAGTGCCACAATTCTAAATAAAAGCCACTCCAAAAGACGGGGTGATATGATGAGGTGTGAGTAATGCATCAGCGAAAAAAAGGATAAACTACAATACAGGCCACAGTACTAATAATCTCAATGCATTACAGCAGACTACAGAAGGAAAAACTAATTTATAAGAGCAATATCCCTTACTTCTGCAGAGGTCAAAAAATTATAATGGACTTTCTATTCACCAGGAGATAAAAATTTTGGATAATCTATGGCATGCTTTTGGATTCTAGCTATTCCTGGTGCAATGGAAGACTGATGTGTTTTTTTGTTTGTTTTTGCTAAAGGAAAAAAACGTCCAAAGTTTAGGTTGCTTATCTATAAAAAGAATTCATCCACCTTGATAGATGCAATAGAAGTCCCATGAGAAGGCTTTAAGACATAAGCAAGTCTGGTGGAACATTGATCCTGACTTTGTCAAAAATCAGGCAGACAAAATCCTCAGAGCTGTCAAGGGAAAAAAAAAGAAAAGAAGAAAGAAAAATCTCTTCCTATGAGCTAAATTGTTTGTAAGTGGCAGGGGGCCAGGTTGGATGGAGAAAGGCATTAGAATTTTTCTGACCAAGTGCATCCATTTTATCACCCCTGAAATGTCAAACTATCCAACTCCCAAAGGCATCTTTTCTGGCAGCTGTTAAAAGAAAACCAAAAAAGCCACAACCAACCAGAAGGGAGGGGAAAAGAAAACCTCACACAAAGAAAGTAGTATCTGCTTGAATTGTTATCAATCCATTTTCCCATTCTTCACTCCCCCCATCAGCTTTCCCCCTCTTAAGCCACCCTATGAAGGACCAAGAGGAGATTTTGCTTCTTTTCTCTTCTAATCACACCTACCACATTTCAGCAGCTTTTTTCTCTGTACAGTTCAAAAGAAACTACCAAATGAGCACAAATTTATTTGTACTGGATCAAAGTAATTATTTTAATTAGCACAGATAGTTGGGATAATATGGACAGCCATGGAATCTGTGAGTAAAATAAATAACTACTGGTTATTATTTGAGTGAAATACTAAAAAATAATAAATTTGATTACCATTCACTAGCATATGAGCAATCTTTTTCTTTCCTCAAATTCCCTGGCTCGTATGAAGTTATTAAATACAGGATTTACTTGACGGTATCTGTATATAATTACTTATCCACATAAAAAGTCATCTGTGGTTTATGAGCAGTTAAATGCTAACAGTCACCATCCCATTTCACTGTGAGGTTCAGTTTTGCCGCACATACGGATGTTTAAGTTGCAGTGCAATGCTTGTGATATCTTCCTCAGTTAAAGCAAATAATTAATAAATAAAAATAAAAAATAACTCAGATTCAGCATTAATATTCATGCTTGAGTTTAAAATTCACTTTCCATAAATATTCTCCGTTGTCTGCTGTGTCTACAAATATTCATCCTGATAAATTAGTTGGCTTTGAAGAAGGCAAACTCAAAGAAAGTGATAAAGCAAGTTCTACTTTTTTTTTTTCTTCTTCTTCAGTAAATACCCATTCAAAATACTCACCTCCACTCAAGAATACTCATATTTGATGGTGATATTTTATAATTTATAATTGGCCTAGGGATGTGCTGATTGCATGTTCTGGAAAGGAAAAATATCCTGAGGAGCTGAACATACAGAATATGGTAATTAAATAATTTTATGTTCTAGTTTTAACACAATAACACAATAGTTATCAGATAACATGATCTTTAAAGCTGCTTGATCCTTAAAGCTACTTGTAAAACTTTTAGTGAATGGAATAAATGACCCCAAATTAAGCCTCCTTCCACAGACATCGGTAGGAAATATTAGATTCTATTCAACCTAGTATGACTGATTAGAAGGAACCAACCATACTGATAATAGTGGGCAGACTTCCCCAATTCTTGGCATAAGAATGTAACTCAGAAGAGAGTTCAACTGTTTTCTGCAGATGAGTGCAAACCACATTGGTCAAAGAACAGAGGAGTGAGCACACCTCTGCCATCACCCCAGGACACTGGGGACGGATGGATGCCAGCTGCTGCTGCTGCTGCACTCCCTGAGCACACCTCGCATCCTGCTCAGCTGCAGCCACTCCTCACCATCTCTTATCACCTCTGTACTGAAGGCAGGCATGAAGCTGGATCTGTATTTCTTTTTCTCCTTTTTGCAGTGTTTCTATCTTCCATCGTCAGTCTTCTGTTCCACTGCTCCATCCTCTGTGAACATCGTGTTGTCTGATTATGTTGGCCTTGTTAGCACTTTTCTAGGCCGTACCATAAATGATCAATTCCAATTTGCATTTTTGTACGTTATCATAATTTTTGTTCTCAATATGCTTTCAAACAGAAAGCCACTGGCTGCAGTTTCTAAGTTTGAACAAGTCCATCTGACTAAAGGGCAGGTGAAACAAGCAAAAAGAACAAACCAAAACTCAAAGAAATGGCAGGAAGCAGAGGAGAAAGGGGGAGCATTCCCTGGGATCCCACCAGGATGGAGATCCACATCGCACAAAACTCGGCTGCAGTGACAGATGCAGCAAGCTGGAGGTCTGACAGGACAGTGGTAGCTGAGATACTTTGGATTTCTGCAGAGCCTTTGAACTAAAAAATTCCCTGCAAGAGAGGCCCATGGGGAAGAGCTACCTGGCAGAAGAGCTTGATTAGCATCAGAGAAGAAGCACACAGATGGCAATGATTCCATGCATCCTTCCCCCCACCTCTAAATAATTTTAAATAAATTATTTAAAGGGAAATTGCTTGTGATTGGCATAGGTCTCCACAAAACTACCTGCCCTCAGGTCCTCTCCCGAGCCTGCCTCCGTGGGAGGGAATGCTCTGCTCTGCTGCTGCTCAATAAAACAAACTAAATAAATGTCTACATGGATCCCAATTAAGACCAAAACTTAAAAGGAAAATACAAGGCAGGTGAATGCCACACAGGCATTTAGAACTATTTATAAGGATTGCAGGAAGAACACCTGTCAGAGCCTTTGACAGAAATGGAACAAAACCTCCCTGATCTGAGAGGCAAGGAAAAAAAAAAGGTAAAACTTACCCTCTTCTCTTCCTTTTGAGACCTGCATGCCACTAGCACAGGACAGAGATAACACAGTAAAACGTTTTTAAAGAAAGCAGCTGGCAGTAAGTTTATAGCCTATTTAGGCATCTAAACTAAACATCAACTCTGTCTCCATGTTGTTAAATATGAATAATACCTTTTTGTTCTTGTGGAGGATCTGCTGGGATCATGCTTCACAAACAACTCGTCTTGAAATGTTCAGTGATGCTCAGAGGACTGATACAACCTATAGCGACAGATGAAAAGACAAGATTAAGACTACTTTAAAATGAGTGATAACACTCGTCTGTGTTCAGTGTGCTAGCGAGACTCTTAAGCCTTGGAATCTCTGTTGAAAGAGTAAAGGTGACTGAGAAAACAGCCATTGGAACAACCAGAAATTGAGAACCATGTACATAGATAGTAGGAAGGGTTGACTGCAAAGAATAGAACACAGAATTTTAACCTACAGACATCACCTGAATCAAAGCACGCAGCAAACAGGTGTGTGAGCAAAGCATTCCAGCAGTGCACACAGTGATGGGGTAAATCTTTTTTTTTTTTTTGTACAGACATTGAGCTTATATATAGAAAACTTCTGTACTAATAATGCGCCTCTCTGTATCTTTTGATGTGGTTCAATAGATATTAAGTGAAAAATATTTGTTTGTGCAAAACTGTCCCAGCTTTAACACTATTTTCCCTCGGTGAATTAACTGTAAATACTGAATTCTAAAAGAAAGTAAGGTAATCACAACCCTGAAAGCACGTACATTATTGCTTCTTTGCCTGTGACAGAACTTCTTTTGGATTTAATTCATTCCACTTAACATTTAAGCATCCTATGTATCTATAAACATAAGCTTAATTCAAAGCTGGTGTTTATTAGCAAGATAATTGTACTTATTACTTAAGCACAGTGCCTAGCTGGCATTCAGCCCAGATTGGACTTTTCTCTCTATCGTATCTGCAGAAAGATTTGGACTGGATTCAACAAAAGCAGATGCTCAACCAATTAGGAAGAACTGCACCCGAGCCCCAAAACTACCTTCCATCCTATTTGGTGTATATGGAGGTGAACTGGCCGCACTGCAGGAGCCAGGAAACACGAATGGGAGCCATCAGGTGAGCACACGAGGCTGGGAGAGGGCAGGTACAGCTCTGACCAGAGGCCAGCAGAGGTTCCAAGATGCAGTGGAGAGGCACCACAGGCATGGAAAACAAAGAGAACTGAGTCTGAGGTGATTGATACCAGTTGTGACATTTTGCCTTAGTAGATAGGTAGACATACATCTCAATTTTTTTTCTAAGCCAACAGCCAAAAAGATTGCACAGCCAACCATCTCTATAAATGCAAGAAACTTCATGAAGATTTGGAGAGATTAAAATCCAAAGGTAAACACAACCCTTTATATTAACAAAATGGTAACAGAATTTCAGAGAAGCCACTGAAGTGGAATTTTGAGCAAACTCATTAATACAGAACCTGTTTTAATGTTGTTAACAAGAGAATTTCAGTTGGAAAACTAAGTTTGACATGCCACGTACCATCATCATACTTTCTCCATATTTAGTACATACAGAAGGTGTTCAGTATTCAAAGTATAGCATATAGTAACACCAAACCATGCTGCTACATTTCAAAGAACCTTTAATATCCACTTAAGTGCAATACTGCCTTATAGAAGAAATATTTTCAGTTGGTGCATGGCAGGTTACGTTACTCAGAAATGAATTCTAGAGTTTTAACTATCTTTAACTTAGATAAATGTTTTCAAGAGAATGAAAGAATGGCCCATCACCTTACTCATCTATAACCATCTCCGAAGTCTAATTTTCCCCACTTCCTATTATCTTCAGGACGAGGTTTCTGTGGATAACTTCTATATAATGCATTAGAAATTGGGTGTAATTAATTGCTTAGGCAATATTTGCAGTAAAAGTAGTTTAGAAGCAACTGTTCAAAATGCCTAAATATTTTCTAGGATTAACAGTCTGGTATTTTTATACACAAGGTGGGATAGAAGGAGGAAAGAAGGACAGTTCATACATAACAAGAGTGACTGGTTTGCAAACATATGAAAGCCCTTAAATCCTCTTTCTAAAAGGGTTGGTAGCCAACATGCCAGCTGGTCAGAGCTCTGCCTAGAGTGGTTATTTCTTAATGAATTTTTAAGTGGAAGCTCTGAAAGACTCAAAACTCACAGTAGAGTGAAATGAATTTGGTTTTACCCGATGCCCATTAAAGTATATCAGCCTAAGCCCTTACAGCAGTCAAGGAGTAGCATACTTATTAAACACTTGGCTACTCCCCCCCACCCCATCCACCACCATGTGAATATTTTGTTTTTTAGTTTAGTAGTTAGCATTATTCCTTATAGAAACAGCTGTAAGTTGATGAGTGGACGCTCTATGGCATGTAAATCAGTAAAGCATGCAGATCCAGAAATGAATCCCAAAACTTTAACCTCTTTGTCTTCTTTCCTTTGGTGACTGGTAAGACAAGGCCATATTATTCTCTCATGGAGGGGAAAAAATTAATGCAATGTTCTTTCCATTATTTATTTTCACTTGATACTTAGCTGCATATTGATAAAGGACCACAGAGCTGGAGGAAAACTGCCTTGCTGCCAGCTTACTGTGAACGTTGAAAACCATCTGCTTTTGAAATGAATGTTCCTTTCCCTCTTTAATAATTAACTCTTGGTGATCAAATACATCCTTCAGTCTGGTCTATAAAAGGGGAAAAAGAAGAGAAAGTGCACTCATCCATCAAAGAAAAACACACTGAAAAAATTTCATTGTAATTCATTGCTATAATCAGACTAACAGAGCTGGGCCACCAGACAAGGAAAAATATCCTTGTACATGCAATGTTTTGTGACCTGGATTAGCACAAATTCCAGATGTAAAATCATTTGGACCTCCAAGGCTGGTTTGGATTTATATCTAAGATAGGCTGTAATAAAGACTGAGAAGAAAACCCCAACACAGATGAAACTCCAGATGTGTTTCACAAGGGATCGGCCCCTGGTGAAGAGATCTCAATGGCAGAAATAGCTCCATAAATCGTTACTGGCTCCTCATTCACCTGTAACCTTTTGATCTCAGACCATTTCCAACAAGATAGATGTCTGCATTATAAAAGCAGCTGATTTGCTCTGTTCTATGAGGATGTCAAAGATTAATGGGTCCTTGGAATTTAAATAATTGTCTTTCTGGGTCAAGATCAAGGTGAATGAGGTGGAGAAATAAAACCTGCCTGTTAGTAGATAAGTAGAGCATCAAAGGGAAGGTTGGAGGACTGGGAAATCCCACAGCTGCAAATTGCTGAAAGCTGGGAAAGCCTGTGACTGTGCATTGACAGGGATAGCCCCCAACCCCCTTTTTTCATTAATTATTTTTGTTATTAACACCCTGAAGCCCTCCATCTGTATCTTCTTACAAGTCTTCTTTTGCCTGTTCATATAGAATGTTTTACAGAAATGCTTGCTATCACAGAAAAATTATAAAAGATGTAGTTGAAGAGCCTATACTTAGATAAATGCATGTATACAAATATCCATATACAGAAAGTACATAAGGCAGACTGAAAGACTAGAGTTTTTAATAAAAAATAATTTCTGGTAAGAAAAAATCTGAAAGCAAAATCTTTACTGGCATCCACATGACAGCCAGAGTAACACACCACACTTTAGGTACAGCCAAACATCCACTTGGTTCGAGCCTGTTTTCCACAGATGAACAGCTTAACACAGTTGCTCTTGCCCAGCACCTGACCTCCTTGACGGATTCTGTACCCAGACTTTGCAGTTCAGTCCAACATACCTTTATTCCACAAGGAGTAATTCGCAAAGAAATATTTTCCACATGATATACATAACATAGTTATAAAGTTAAAATAATGGCAGAGGAAAAAAAAGAATTAGAACCTATAATCACTGAAGAAGAAATATGTTTTCAAATGTGATTTGCAAATAGACAGTGAATCAATGAGGCAGGGAGACTAGAGGATGCTTCTATAGGAAAAACGGCCGGGGAATGAAAAGTGGGACATTTAACAAGGCATTGCACTCCTTTACTGCTACTTGCATGGACTGTCTTCACTCATTAATCTGCAAATTATTCACTGCTGGATCCTCAGTAAAGTTATTAGCTAGACTTTATTTCTGCTTTTTTTTTTTCGTATGCACCATAGACACCCAGACTGATGTACTTATATTAGCCAAAGGATTTACTACCCCGTGTATCCCAGGCATGTGATGCAACACAAGTGACTCCTCCAGCAGGAGCATCCGAGAGCAGCAGGGTTACACCTGACAGGCCCAACTCAAAACACACATCCAGGGCTGCACGCTTAATGAGCATGTGTGACCCTGGGCTTGCCAATATATAAATTACATGGGTAATTGCTAGAGGAGTTCCTCATGCACAGGAGAAGCACTTGGAATTACGCATAGACTTGTCCTGTACTTCTAAATTCACTGTGAGAAATTTGGGATATACCCAATGCATATTAAAGAGAAAGACATACAACAGCAAACTCAATGTGTATTATATAGATACCAGAGCCTTAATAATGGTGACAAAAGGAGTAATATGGACAGTAAGGTTAATCTTAGTGCATCATACACTTTACAGAAGAAAGCCACTGGAGCAATAGGAGAGGGAGGAGTGGGTGTTCAGTGCGCATAAACCAGGAGTTTGCTCCTTTCGGAACACGTGGCAACAAACTCAAGAGCTCAGAGGCCAAGTTCAGAAGGGAAATGCCAGGATTTTAAGGCAGCAGAGGAAGGCTGACCCAAACCAAGGGTGACTGCTGGCAGGAGAGCACACAGACACCCTGAGCAAAGCCCAGTACCCACCAGTGGGGCACGGGGCACACCAAGCCTCGAGCTGCTCATGCTCACAGGACACAGAAGGGACACATAGCTTCAGGCCACTGTGGCTCAGACTGGGCCCCCTACACACATTTGGGATACATTTGCTATGCCTATAAAACACACACATATTCTGAGATCTTGGTGATCCTTTTTCTTCACTTTTCATTGTCACAAAGACGTAGCTCCTGGGCACCAGAAGCCTAGCAGCTCCGAGGGTGGTGCTTTCCAGTGGGCCTGAGAGCACAGGGGAGCAGTTGTTCTGGCAGAGATTTTCAGAATGATTTAACAGGAGGTGTGAGCTGGCAGAAAGTCATGGACATGTTGCCTAAACTCCAGAAATCAAAGTCAATTCAGTTACCGTACATCTTAACCAGCATTCATTCACTTTGGAGTCAACATGGTATGGCATTCACGAGAAACGTAAGAAAGAGCAAACATTAAGCAGTGTAATCTCTGTCAGAAGCGTGTGGAACTTTCCCTGTGTGTCACAGACACTGAACTGTCAGTAGTCTAAAAATAATAAAGGCAGATCTCAGTTTCTGTCGAATCAAACTGACACAAAAAACTTGGATACTGGTGTAAAAGGGAAAAAAAGAAAAATCAATGTCAATCCATTTCTTCACTCAAAAGTGACACCCTAACAAGACAATTTGAGCTTTAAGACTGAAAAATGATTTCTATATGTTCTTTAAGTGTGTTCTGGAAGAAACTGAACCAAATAGATAATGTTCAAAATGACTATTTCCTAACTGAAATTTCCATAATTCCTCAGTTATTTCCAAAGACAGCAAGCACAAAACAGCAACGAAGCCTACAGCTAAAATTGCTTTTTGACAAAGGTAGTAAGAATGACTGCAAGAGAGGCAAGTCAGAAAGATTTCTTCAGAGGGCAGAACAACTCATAGGTCCACCTACGATTCCCACCATTAGTCTTTTAGAGCTATGTCCATTTAGACACAGAGGGTATTTTTCGTTTCAGTGATAGCTGTTGAAATGTTGTGTGGCTGATATTCCATAATTGATGGAGAAAGACAGCCATCATGAGAAGATGTTTTCTTCATTTATCAGGCAGGAAAGCTAAGGCGAAGTTCAGCTCAGAAGGATGAGTCCCATCTTTAAACACTCAGTGAGCTCACAGCGACAGGAGGTAAGACAACTCTGCAGTTGCACCAGTCTTAAAAATAACAAATATAGTAAGAAGAGCAGCAAGAGAAGAATAGCAATTTAGTAATGGTGAGAGTTAAGGACACCAGGAAAAGCCTATTGATTTCCCGAGTTTTAGAGCAGGTCTTCAGCAGAACACAGGATGCATTCAACAGTTTTGTCTCCCAAAATCCTAGTGCTTTCAGAAAGGTTCAGGCTGCTCTTATGCATTACATTGCCCAGCCACGCACATGTATCCTTCAGGCTGCCTCTCCCGCCGTCCTGTGGTGGTTCATTGTGAATCACTTCCATGCTGATTCACACCACAGCTCACAGGCTGAGGTGAGCAATAAGTCAATTAGCCCGACTGAATTGAAAGTTGTATTTGATCACGGTAATGCAGTAGTTTGTACCTTCATAATTTCCTTTGATTGCTCAGAAAAATTTGTACATAACAACATGATGAGTGGACAAAATTAAAAAGTCATTTTTAGCTGGAGAAAGCCTTGCTCAGCCAGGACTGTGGTGTTTGCTGTAGCCTTGGAAAAGATGTAATTCAATTTAGCTTAGTCCCCTCAAAGGGGCCACAGTGCTAAGTGATGGCAGAACCTGGTTTTGAGTCCAAACCTTTGGAGTTGAACACACAAGCTTTTCTATTGCTTGATTCACAGGCAATAAAATAGCAAGCGAGATAGAAAACACCAAGTACCATTTATGTAGCTATACTCCAATGAAAGAAATGGAAAATTCTGAAGAACTGTTTGCAGCCACAGGCAGTATTGCTCAGGCTGTTATAAATCTTATAAATCATTTCATATGCTGGCAACAGGCAAGGAGGAAAATGAAAATTACACCAACAATGCTCTCCAGCTGATCAAATAAAGGCTATCTTTAATTGCTCTATTGCTAGAAGCAGAAGACCACTGTGGCAGAGCAGAAAGCTCTGGCATGCTTCAGGCTGAAGACCCAACTCTGTTCAAAGGTAAGCTCCACTTGTACACATCGTGCCAGCTCAAATACAGTTCAAGAAAAAAGGCAATGGAAAAATATCCTGTCACTGTCTGTCTTTGCAAGAAAATTGTCTTTTGATGAGAAATAATTTGAATGCACCACATGTGTATACACACAGTAATGTCAACTCATTTGATTATTTAATTTTCAAAGTTAAATCTTTCACTCTGTAGTACTTTGATATCTAGAACATTTTTCATTGCCAAGCTGTACTGAAACAGTTTTAACGTTATATTTTGGCTGTGAAAGGAATGGATTGCTAGTTTCCAGATGCTTTATCCAAACTATTAGGGATGTACATTCATGAAGCTTGAACCACAGAATTCAAATCCAGTTGGAAAAATGGTCCAAACATTTATTTTCATCTAAGATAAGTTTACATCACCAAAGTGTTAAATATATTTTCATTAAGTTGCTTTAATTTCTGCTTTATAATCCAGTATGAATTGAACTCAAATCAAAAAACTGCAAAACCAGTTTTTGCATTCAGACCAAGATTCAAGGAGGTATACAAGCCTGTGCTAAAACAACCACTGGTTCACATACTTCAGCTATGTCAGGTAAAATACACGTAGCTGGAAAGCCTGACAGATATGTTTAATGTTAAGAATATGCGTAAACATCATGCAGAACTAAGACCTAGCTTACAGTTCATATTCAAGCTATGCCAAGGTTTAAATGGAAAGGTAACCTGGT